TCTGCATCACTGGTGATGAGAAGGTTTTTAGGTTTTTTTTTTTTTTTTAGTTTTATGCCTTGGGGCAAGTTCTTGTTTTGCCTCGCCTTGTAGCTCCATGTCTCTCTGTCTGCGATGTCCTTGTAGCAGCAATGGTCAAAGCCACTGATCTTCAGTCTTTCCACCTCTTCCTTGGTCATTCTCTCGAGTTTGCTTCAAGAAAAACGACTAGTTTTGGTCCTCACTGTGGTTTCTAGCATGTGGAAATGGGTGGCTATAGGCTTGACCAGGTCTCACAACCATATGGTGTAGCTCCTTGAAACTGAAGCATCTTTCATGGAGCGAACAGAAGATGTTCTTTTAAAGGGGTGGGGGGTATTGTGTATTTATCAAAACTAATTTTGACTTTGCTATCTAAAAATCTTAAATTGGCCTCTGTCTCTTTAAAAACCTCCTACCATTTGTGGGGCAGGGGAGCTCTCGTCTCGCCTGCACACTGAGCTCCAGGGAGGAGCTACTAGGCACAAGAGGCGGAGCTTTGTACCAGGAAGCATCAAGGCAGCACCACRTGGCTACCACAGGAGAATCAAMGATTTCTCAAACATGCATGAGTGAATCAAAGCAACACTGGTTATGTTTTTGATGAGGGAATGAACATAAACACATTTACACAATAACAGGATATAAAGCTCAAAGAATACCCCCTCCCCCTTTAAACTCTGGGTCAAAGTCATCATCGTCGGTAATGTCACCATCTAGATAGATAAAATTGTGCACATCCGTTATTGTTGGGTTGTTATCTGGGCAAATTCTCTGCACAAATTCAGTTTTGGGCTTGTTTTTTTATTAGACCCCAAGCATTAAGAGCCGAAGCAGCAGTTTGACGAGAGCTGTGGGGCTTGGTGCCATGTGCTGCATCATCAGCAAACAGGAAGCCGGTCAGTGCAGTCGACATTTRTCTTGAGGCGGGGCAGATTGTTCAAGCTGCTGTCCAATTTATGATGAATGTTTGTAATAAACTCTGACATGGACTGGTGGGCCTTATGAAGCACATATGAGAACTGAAGGATGAACAACACAGATACTAGTATACATTCTTGGTCAGAGGTGTATAAATAAATCCCTAAGTAAAACCGAGTTGAGCAAATTGCTTTACATCTACTCAACTTGGTTCAGTGGAACCAGCTGACATAACTTGGTTAAGTAAATTCAACACTTCATGTTTCAGAGTGTATAGTTAATTTGCAGTGTGTAACAAGGTGCTAAATTTTAAAGTGAAGAAGTAAAAAGTATCGTTTTTATATTTTGAATGTGACAAAATAAATGTAAAAGTTATGATTTAAAGGGATCCCCGATTAGTTGTAACATTAAATTTTATTTGACAGTTATTTTAACTGTAAAATAAAGACTGTAAAAATACCGTAGGCTTTTTGGTTTAGTAAATTTTTAAAGATATTTTTTAACATGGATGGGGCCATTTTATTTACACGCAAAGCATTCCGGGTAAATGAAGATGTGGATAGGTCCTCGGTGTGAGCG